GATTCAGAAGTAAACTGGATGATTACAGCAAGTCAGGAAAAAATACAAAAAAATAAATAATATGACTTTTTTTTTTTGTTTTGTTCGTTTTTATAATTCAGCTAATTTTCAGTCAATATTAGGCCACGGTATTCAATAAAAAAAAAAAGCCTTTTGAGTGCAGTCATGTGGCCTCTTATATTTCCTCTTTCTTACAGTATTGGTTTACAAATGTAACCGACTGTCTTGTTTCCAGAAGGAGGAAAAGTGAGATTCCCATAAAGTTTTTTAAAACAGAAAGCTCCTTTACTTCAGACGTTGTGTAAAAATACAAATAGTTTCATTAAAATCTTATTGATAGTTTTAAATGGTTGATCATACTGTTTATCATATTAAGGATATTTGCAGAAACTCAAGACTTTAAGCAGTGTGTTGTACTGAGAAACAGTCAGTAAAAGCCTTGGTCCCCATGTTCTACCAAATATGTTTTGTTTAGACATACCGACCACATCCAGGTAGATTCACCAAATGCAGAAAAAATATCTTACATCAGCATCAGCTTTTTAAATATTTTTCATATATAGATATATCAGACAAGGATATTAATGGATACATTTAGCAGGACTGTTTGAAATCTTGTTTTAGTATGTTATTTTTACCCGTTTCCTTTATCAAAATTGCATTTTGAGAGTTCTTAACTTGAAAAGAATCTGCTGTATGTTAAGAGCCACTCTTGACCTTTCAACATAATCTAAACTTTAAATACTTTTTAAGGATCCATTTAAGATATATTTGGTTAAAAGGCAAAAATGTTCACAACTCCCATCTATCCATCCATCCATCCATCGGTTGCGGTGGGGCCAGTGCCTATCTCCGGCAGTTTATGGGAAAGAGGCAGGAAACACCCTGGACAGGTCAGCGGTCTGTGGAAGGGCAACACACACTCTCCCCTAAGGACAATTTAGAGAATCCAATTAACCTACCAGTCATTTTTATGGACTGTGGGAGGAAGCCGGTGTACCCGGCATGCGCAGGGAGAACATGCAAACTCCATGCAGAAAGGCCCTGGGCCAGGAATCGAACCTGGAACCTTCTGCTGTAAGGAAAACAATAGTATCACTGCATCTCTATCCAGCCCATGTTCACTACTGAGATCAATTTTGTTGAAAAATTAAAGAGGTAAAATGATAGACATGAGCACCGACGTATGTTGATACCTTGATGAATATTTATTACTGGATTAGTTTTGCACAAAAAATTATAATAAATAAATTGATTTGTTTAAATAAGATTTGGATTTATATTAATGGGCTCTAACGGTCAACCCTTCGATTTTAGAGCAAACTCCTACATTCCACACCATTTTTACTGCTGTCTTCCTGTATCCTTTCTGCACAAGTGCAGTAAGATGAACGGATCCAATGTAGTAGCGACTGAAGATACTGTTTCTGAATCTTAGTGAAAGGATTTTATTCTTAAACATGCTTAATGTGTGCAATTAAGTAATAACTGCATTAACTATATGTGTATCGGGAGTTTTATGGGCCCTATTTTGGAACTTGTGGCTGCAGTTTTGCCCTACATATAAGCCAGCTTCAGGTATTTATGTATTGTTATTGTAAAATAAAAAAAAAACAATATTTCAGTAGGAGCTAAATTAAAGAGGTGTAAGCATATCAATATATAATGATTGTTAGTGTAGTCAAATGAAAAAATGGATTTTCATACTATTAGATTTTTATCCATCTGTTTTAGAATAGCTTTTTTTTTATTGGCTTCACATTGTGAAAAGTCTTGTTTTCAGCAGTAAGAGGAAAGTTTACACCAACGTAATAAAATACTGCACAGTTGTCAAAAACTAGCTCTGTTTGATGGAATGTGCTACTCAGTAAGATTGATAAACTGGATATTAAAAACAGCTACAGGGTATTTGCAAGAAAATGGAAAAGCTCATAGATATCTTTACAAAAAAATGTGTATACATATGTTGGAAAAGTGATTTTTTTTTTTGTTGTAATTTGGTTTTTGTGTCGTCTTAGTGTAGTAGTTCTAGATGGAAACTAAGACTGAGTTCAACACCAGGGCTGGCCCAAAGCATAACTAAGCATCTGCTTGGGGCCTCGGGGCAACTTGGGGGGCCCCTTAGAGCAATTAATTGTTTTGGTTTTTTTGCATGTACAATGATTTAACTATAAATACCTATTTTTAAAAAAAGCAATTTAAACAAGAGGTGAAGCATTTTTTACATCAAAATATATTTAATTATGAAATAATCATTACTTATACATGAAAATTGGTCTTGGGGCCAGACTGTCACACAGGTCAGGAAGGACCTAAACCTCTCAGAGATAGACTTATGTTTGGCATAGATATATGCACTTAATATTTTCATGTTTAGTTGATCTGTCTGTTTTGTAAAATTGTATGTATTATTTTTATTTCTCAAAGTAATTTTATCTGTTTCATGTTTTTGTTGCACTATAGGTTACTTTTCTTTATTGCTTTTGCAGCTGGAATGAAAGGAAGTATAAAGCACATGACACTTTTACTGTAAATACACTGCAGCTGTTTATTACTTTTAGTAATATTGGATGATGAATAATAATAGGAGATGGTAAACAGCTCTGCAAGAGCTGCAATGAGTTTAATGTAGACGAGTAAATTATGTTATTGTCGGATGATTGGTATTATAGGCAGAAATAGAAGGTCCCAAACTTAACTTATGCTAAGGGTGCCTTGTGACTTATTCTGGCCCCGTTGACCACCTCACATTTTGTACAAAATTAAACCTCACTTTATCACCAATGAAACTGAGAAAACTTCTTGTTAGTTCACAGCCAGCAACGCTCTAATCTTTAATAATGCTAAATGAAAATATGTGTTGTCTGTGTCAAACTGTCAGAATGGTGGGAAATATTTAAATTTGTTATTTTATTTCTTTTTCCACACATCGATGTTAAAAGCTCAGTTTTTATTAGTCTGTAATAAAAGTTTCATATGAATCTATCACAGGTATTGCTCATTGTTTCTGGTGATGCATATTTTTTGGAAACTTAAGAAGAATTTCATAAAGTTTAAGCTTGATTAAATACATAATATGTCTGTATCGGCTCATTTTAGAAAAGGCTCCAAAGTGGTTCAGGATTTTTCACAACAATACATATAATTAACCTTCTGTTATGGTGTTTGGTTCCTATCAGGCCCACTTTTACAAAGCATAGCATGGGTGACTGTGTTTTAATCAGTTTTGGCATGGGTGATTGTAGACAGGGGCAAACAGGGGCCATTATCTCTTGTAGAACTGTGCCTGCCCCCTGCACTGAAAACATACACTGCAAAAAAATTAGCAATTCAACTGAAATAACTATTTTATCCTTGATTTGAGGAGTTAGGTTAGACAATTTTCCAATAGAATAAGAGTATTTACATTTAGAAAAACTCCATTAACTTATTTTAAATACGTTCTTACATTTCTAAAATCTAATTATGTTATTTTTAAGGCCATAAATACTACTTCTTTTAATAGCTCGTCTTAGTTACCTGCTCAAATTAAGGGCAGGTACACTTTTTTTTAAGAACCTTTACTCTTTAGATCAGTTTTTGCAGTGTAATGCTAAATCAATTTCTTATGACGATTATGCGCTGACAGAAAAGATTGTAAAGGTTTGTCCCTTAATGACCAGTAAAATCAGGGGTACAACTTTGGCTTTGAGGCTCACTTATATACTCAAAGAGACACTTTTGCAACAGCTGCTACAAAATAAAATTCCTCAAGAGCAATTAGAAAGATTTTATAAATATTGAAAGCCTAGGAAATCAAATCTAGATTTTCCATTTTTAAATTTTAAAAGAAAAAAAATACAATTTAATCTTAAAAACAGAAAAGTAATAATTGGTTTGTACAATGCAATGCAAGATCTACTAAAGAAATAAAAGAAAACCGATGGTTAGCCCCTCTAGAAAATATCAAGAATATAGTTAAAGCTAAACAAATATATACTTTCAAACGAGGGTGTAACTTTGTGATGAAAGTTAGTGGGGACACATTAAGAGAGATGGCTGATGGACCTACAGTTACTTGACACAAACGCTTTCATTAGGGTTTTGTATCTTCCAAAATTGAGCTCAAACATTATTTATCGAATGCTTTCCTATTGTTGAGAACACAAAAAAAACCAAATACACTGATATTTATATTTATAGGTATTTAGACATTAATGTATATTTAAAAAAAGGATTAATAACAGCCCATTCAGATGCCAACAGCAATATATTGTGCCTCCCTAGTATGCACACAATTTCAGTTTCATTCATCCATCCAGAAAAATGTGGATTGAATGGACGTTTTCCCTTTCAGCTACATCAGTGATTATTCTCCTTCAAAAGCAGCAAAATCAAATTTAGAAATGTATCCCACTTCTTGCCGAGAGCCAAAATCTATTGAAATTATTGGTGGGGACATGTCCCCAACAGTCCTTCAGAAAGCTACGCCTGTGCTTTCAAATGCCTTGTAGAAGTAATATTTTGTTGGTATGGATACTTTATGCAGACTTTGTATAAAAAAAAAATATACAGAACCCTTTCCTATTGCCTTAATACATAAAATATTTTACTTAGTGCCTTTGGAGTCACACTGAAGGGGCCAAAGGGACACATGTTACAGATGCTGTACAAAATAATGCCCTATTTTTTTTTTTTTTTCTTCTTCTTGTTTTTTTTTTTTTTTTTTTGTTATGTGTATATGTTTGTTGTAGTTTCTTTTTTATATGACCCCCACCTTTTAAAATTCGTATAAACCACTGAAGGCAGCAGAAGAAAATCTCGTTCTTCTTCTTCTTCTTCTTCTTCTTATTATTATTATTTTATTTATATTTTTTGTTTTTTATAAACCCGTACATGTTAATTGATGGTAAACTAATGGCGGTTATCTTTAAATGTGAGGAGGAAGAGTAGGAGGTGTCTGTTATGAGGACGGTCCCTTGGCCCCGCCGCTCGGCGCGCGCTGCGCAGCAGCGTCACCGCATGAATGACAGCGCGTCGCTTCGAGGCAGGGAGACACTTCATCGCAGGAGCTGCCGGGAGGGGAAACCGCTCACAGTCCGGGCCGAGCAGGTGGATTTGTGCTTTGGATCCGACAGCAGGATGCTCCAGCTTCCATGTTAGCAGCAATGAGACCATGAGGAGGTGACCGGGGCTGTGCGGCGCTGACAGGCAAGTGTGTGCGCCAACAGGTTGGCAAAGCCTTTCGCCATCACGTCAACTAGATGCGAGTTGTTGAACGTGTAACTATCAGCTTCTCCTTTCACGTTTTATTACAAACAATAGCTATATTCTCTCTAAATGTGTTCTTATCGGATGAGAGTTTAGAAGCGTTTTATAAAGGCAGCTTTGAGCTCTGACAGCACAGGTTTCCTCTTATGAAAATAAACAGGGTAATTTACTGCAAAGGCAAACCGTCAAACTGGGTTCAGTAGGTTTGTGGGAAGCAGAAGCAGATTTCAAAACTGCTTCTAGTTTTTGGTTTAATTCAGTTGAACTGAAGTTTCTTTGTTGTGTGTCCTCACCTTATTTGACCTCACCATATTTCTCTGGTAAAACTCAGAGAGGCATTTACTAAACATGTGGAGCTGTGACATTAACCTGCACATTAAAAAAAGGGGTTATTTTAACCAAGAAAGTGTTTTTTTAATGATTCTGATCAGATTGAGCACAATGCATAGATGAACCCCTTTGCTGTCATCTTTTATGGTCACTCATTGATTTTAAACATGCCCTCCTCCAGATGAGCTGACAGAGGTTCTGGTTTAGTACACTTATGTTAATCTTGGACCTGTATTAACCCCAGCGTCTGCTTCCTCTAACTGGGTTTGTGTTCCGGCCAGCAGCAGGGGAGCTGACGGTAAATGAGAGGCCGTCACCATGCCCCCGGGGAAGTATGGGACGCAGGAGGAGTGGGACAAGGAGGGGGAACAGGACATGGATTTCCTGCTGCCTACCGGGATCTTCCTCAAATTCCCTGTGTCACAAAATGACACCATCAGAAACATCAAGAAAGTAGGTCTCCCAACACTCGAGTTCAGCTTTTCTTTCAAACTACTGATGTATTCTCACCATAAAACAGTTTCTGTTTAAGCGCACATTGCGCATGTATCATAAGATATCTCTGTATTATCAGTAGGCTTTAATTAATTGACTGCAGATATGCTCTGTGGCTCAGATGACCACACAGCCTCAAAATAGCTGTTTAATGTCGCTCATATTACGTTGCTTTAAAGTAATTTGTTGGCTTAAGATTCCCTTCAAACATGAAATAATAAAATAATAATAAAAGATAATAAAAACTAACCCAGGTTCCAAAATTACTCACTGGATTTCATTCGGCCATTAGAGAAGGGGGCTGCAGAAAAGCTTCCAGAGCAAACATGGCCGGCTCACAGATCTGCTGTGAAGTGTAAGTGTGCCAACAGTTCTGCCACTTCATGCTGTTTGATTCGTCTGCGTTAGGTAATGATTCTCTTGGAAGATTAAATCCCTCCCTGATCTGTGCAGTTTTCACAGAAGTACCATAGTAGCAGTTCTGTTTGGATGTTGTTGTTTTTTTTTGTCTCTAAAGAGAGAGATCTGAGCTTTGTGTGTGTGTGTGTGTGTGTGTGTGTGTGTGTGTTGTTGTTGTTGCAGATGGTTTGGAAAAACGCCAGTCGCGAGGCCCTGTTCTGTGCACTGGGTGATCCCGATCTGTACGTCTTCACCTGCATCAACCAGACGGCAGAGCGGGAGGAGCTGGAGGAAGAGTCGAGGCGCATCAGTGACGTTCGGCCTTTCATGCGTGTTCTGAGGCTGGTGGCGAGGGAGGGGGACCGGAGCGAGAAGCTCACCAATGCCCAGATCAGTCTGCTGATTGGCAAGGGTAGGCTGCACCCATCTCTGATCCAACACTGTGGTTCTGCTCTGGGAACGATTCTCATTGGAAGCATGAGGTTCTGTTAAAGGGTTACTGTTGTCAATACCTTTATTCAATATGATGATGGATTCTTTTTGCACTCGCAAATTGGATTGTCTGAATTCCTGGTTGTAAATCTAAGAAGAAAACCCTTTGATCCTAGCAGAATGGATCAGAACAGCTGTGAGTTCACAATCTAACAGGGCTGCTACAGATATAAATGACTGATTTTTTATATCTATTTGGCGATATAGACTTGAAATCTTATCTCTATATTTTTTGGCATTTAACATTATAGTAATAAAAGTGACAAAAAAAATTAGGCAGCGTCTCACTAAAGCCCCACAAACATAAACTCTGCTATTAAATCAGGCCCATTTTTAAACAGGCATCTTCAGGATACCACTTACATAAGACTGTAATAACATCAACCATCAGACATTTGATCAACAAATTCCACACTGTAACTGTTTTAATCTTTTTATTGTTTTGACATTACTGATGCTATTATGTAACTGTCATTGGAGAAAAGTAGAATTAACAATCCCAGTGATACTGCCATCATTAATCTGAACTCAGGGTCATGATAGATCAAAATTACAGTATTACCATGAAAAGACATTTTTATGTTAATGATAAAGAGTTAGTTTATTAGCGTTTCTAATGGTCTGAGTTCAAATTAGACCAGTGGATTGTGTTCTATGTCCTTTTTTCTTTAAAACCTTTTTTAAATCTTTTTAAAGCCTTGAGTGCTTGGCTGCATTTTTGGGAAAAATCAGAATAATTAGTTGCATCTGCAAAAAGAAGAAACTTATTTGTTTCTTTCTTTATTAAATAGGAGAAATAAGAAGCTCAAAAACCCTTTAGCAGACCTGCTTAAATACTTTTAAGCAGCGCCACAGAAAAGACATACTTAGCTAAATATACTGTGAATCAGTTTTCAGACATTTTTAGTAAGGGTTGAACTCAAGTTAATGTTCTCCTGTTTAAAAGTAGCCGTTTATCTCCTTAATTGAATCCAGAGCCATTTTTCTAAGGCTTTTTTTGGTGAACATTCAGGTCTGCACGAGTTTGAAGCTCAGAAGAACCATGAGGTGGACGAGTTTCGAACCAAGATGCGCACGTTTTGCGAAGAGAAGGCCGTGGAGCGGCAAAATTTACCCTGGCAGCGGTGGATGGAGTACAGCTTTCCGTGTGAGCTGGAGCCATCACCGGCAGCCAGCGGGAGCGCAAAGTCGAAGCACAGCAAGAAGCTCTTCATCAACATCAAGTTTGAGTCAAGCGATGTGAGTTGTTCTGCTGTGTTACTGGGTTATGAGTCAAACAGTTGACATGTGTTTTTTTGCTTTTGCAGAGTGCAGTCACTTTGATTGGAAAAAAAAAAAAAAACATTGGTTCCATCTTGAGTAGATTTATTGTGGAGGATGGTTATAAGCATTAATAAGAAACTTTGGAAATCCCCCACCCACCTCATTAACCCAACCTTCAACACATCTTGTAAAAAAACAAACTCCACTTTCCATACAGGTGCCACCTAAATTAGTTGTATCTTTTGCATGGCTCTTTCAGGAAAGCTTCATGCTGCAGCAGGACTGCCAGGACCTCCCTGTGGCGCTGATGAAAAGCGCGCTGAAAAAGAAGGCCACAGTTTTCCGTTCTGTGCGGCAGGAACCTGAGGATTACACCCTGCAGGTCAATGGGAGATGGGAGTTCATCTACGGGAGCCACCCGCTGTGCCAGTTCAAGGTGAGACACTACAGATAACCCACCTAGACACTCTCATTTACAACATGAAGCTCAAATTATATTCACTTTGAAAACCAAACGCCACATTCACTTATTATATGTAATATATTGTAATTAGAAATACTAAAACTTTTGATGTCTTTGTAAATATTCCTTTAAGCTGTTTGGAAAACCCTTTACTTGAGATAGGAATATTATGGAGCCATTTTAGGTTATCTGAGGGTGGATGTAACACCAAGGCTTTTCCAGACGGATATTCATATGAAATGAATCCATTATTTGCTCTTTCAGCTTTCAGCATGATTGAAACTCTGAAAAGAGATGTCGGCTCTGGCCGTGAGAACGCATTCAGGTGCCAAACTGTATGCTGCTGCTGCAAAAAAAAAAAATTAAAAAGCTCAAGTTTCTGTTTCTGTTTAAATAATATGGCAGACGTTTTGAATAGACATGCACCAATCAGTCAGCCACGTGTTCCTCTATCAGTTCTTATTGGTGCAAAAATCCCATTTTATTTTCTGCTCATTAAATGTGTTAAAAACCAAGAACTCTCACAGCTTTTCCATCTAAAAAATCAGAGAGAGACAAATGTTTTGATGAGGGATGAAATCTGGTATTTAATTCACTTTCAGAATTATTACCTCAATTTAAAATTCTCTGTTATATGTGATCGCCCTTAGAGAACAAATTGTCTTCAGCGAATAGAAAAGAAAACCTACAGTCTGTATTGACCAGAAGAAGGATGATCAGGGCATTTCTGACACAATACTGGGATATATTCTGATAAATATCCATCATATAGTCAGCTTTTATTTCCCTGGATCAAACTTCATCCTATTGGACGGTTCACCTAATTTAGTTCTGTCATGTTTCGTTATTTTAAAAACTCAAAATATATTTTGAAAGGTTTATTAATGGTTTAAGCGTAACCTATGTTTTTTTTGCTCTGCTTGTTACTATCATTTTGTAAAGATCTATCTTATCTTTTATGGGCTTTTTATAGATTTGGGGGTTTTTTTTGCAATCTTTTTCCATTAATCAGCTTTAACCTTAGAATTTTACCAGTAAGAGATAAGGGATACCATTAACACAGCAAAACTATTAGATTTATGGATAACAGCTTCGCCGTCAGATAAGTTAATGAGGATAAACGCCACCAACTCTGCTGCAGCTTCTCCCAAACCTTCTGTCATTCAGATAACTTTCTAATTTCATGAGATATTATTTACTAATCAGAAAAAAAAAAACAATACACTCCTGACCTGTCAAGCACAGAAAGTGAAGTGTCAGTGTTGTTCAGCAATTAAACTTTTTCTGATTTTCTAATTCCGATTTCAACTTATTCTATTTCTTTTCTGGTGATCCGTGGCACAAACAAAGCAAAAAAATGTACCATCAATTTGAGCTAGAAGATATTCCAACTGAAAAAGGAAGAATTTATGAGTGAGTCGTCTAGCTGTGAGAAAGTTGTCGGTGCAATTCCAGTGGTCTTTCTTGTCACTGTCCGCTTAGCCAGGGACCTTAACCCCAAGGTGACCACTGATCTGGGAATATGTGTAGACATGCTGAGAGAGCAGCTGGGTGAAATTGTCTGCAGTGTAACGGAGGGAAAAAAGGTTAATCTGTTTAGCAAAGATCTTATTACAATAAAAAAAGAAAGGTACAATGGATTCTAAGCTGTTGCTTGATGGTATTACAGTGCAACTAATGGGAAAATCTAGTTATAAGAAATTTGGAGAAAAAGTGAATGTTTTCGTATTTCATTGAACAATGAAAAGGGAATTGGTTTATTCCATTTACTGGTTGAATTCTAGTTTGTTTTTTGTTTTCCTTGTTTCTTTTAGTGTCTCAGTTTACAATCACTCTAAAGAACCGTTTCTTTTTTGGGCCCAAATTCATTCAGACCCAATCTAGCATTTTTGATTTGTTCCTACGCTCTCCAGCCTTCTGGACCTGCTGCAGAGAGGCGCTTTGCACAGATGTCACAGTAATTTCTCCAACAGGCTCCCTCTCTCCATGGAGAAATCTCTTACAGAGCTGCCAGAAACCTCCTATCATTTATGTCCTTCTTCTGCAGGGATGTAGCAGAATTGAACTTGTGTAAATCGAAAAATAAATCAAAAATGCAAAAAAACTTCACAATGAAATGGTTTCAGTTCAGACTTGCAGTCTGGGTTTCAGTAAAAAAAAAACTTACTTTTTACTTAGCTCTGGAAAAGGTAACTGAAAGTATTTTTTTTTTTTGACCCGCCTTGTCTGCTATTTGTTAGCTTGGAAACGGTGCAGGTGGTCGGACAAACAGCCGTGGTGTCTGTCACATCAGAAGCGGGTTGAGTGGAGGTTTTTTTTGGTGGCAGGAGTCTCCCCTGTTGATTTTGAAACCCCAGCTACCTGCTGGAGTGACTCATATCTGTCCGGCAGCTCTGCAGAGAGGAACTGCTTCCATCCACACATAATGAGATTTTCACTGCATTAACTTGCAGCAAATAAATGGCCTTCAGGAGTTGAACCAGTGCTATCAGGACGCTGGGAAATATCTGTAGCTGAGCTAACTGGTTGCTTTAATAGTAAACAAAAAGAAAGAAAAAAGAAACAAAAGTAAAAAAAAAAAAAAACTCTTGTCTTTTTTGTTTGTTTCTGCAGTACATTTTCTCATTTATGAGGAACGGTCAAAACCCGCAGCTTACCATGGTGCACCACTCCACAATCAGCAAATACCAGGAGGATCAAGGCAGAGTGGGCAGTCAGATATACAAAACCCGCTCCCTGTCCAGACCTCCCCCTCTGCCCCTGAAGAAGGTATGAAGTCGTCGGCCATTAACCTGCCAATGCTTTCTGTTTCCCATCAGTTAATCCTAAACCAGCTTGTGGACTTTAGCATGCTTAGAGCTGCTGTGTAATACTATGATAGTCGGCTTCTTTAAGGCTCCTAGGAAAAGTTCTGAACTTTTTCAGCTTGTTGTTTCATTTTATTAAAGCCCCCCCAAAAGAAGATAGATTCAGGTTCATTAGAACTACAAAAATAATTAACAGATAAAGAAAGTTCTTAAAGCTGATGAAGACATTTAATGAACCAGTAATTAAAAATATGGATACTTGGAAGTTAGAAACTTCATTTTTTAAGTTGGTGGTTTTGTTCCAACCTAACCTTAAAATCCAATATGGCTTCATTCTGAGCAATGGCTGCAAAAGCATTTCTGCTAATGTGTTTCATTGAAACTTTTGGCAAAAATTCTGCTAAGTGTTGTAATCAAAACAAATGTTGGACTTCCATTAACAGGCCTTTTTACCCTCAGACAACAACCTCCTCCAAGTAAAGAATGCTTTGCAGCTGTAAAGCTGTATATAGCTCATATAGTGGCCTCCTTTCACCTCATGTTAACAAGACTTAAGCTATAAAGCAATAGTCAGAGTCTTTATTTTTAAACTCTAGTCCTCCTCGCTGCTTCACTTTCACCTTGTGAATCATTTAAGCATCATTTCAGACATACATCCTAGGCAGCTTTTTGTAGAGTTTTTGTTCACTTGTATGTCTTTTCAGAAAGCTCCAGTGGTTTCATGCTTGCCTGCTTTTGAAAAATTAAGCTGTGTGTTGTTACTTCTTGAACAAACAGGAAACTGCACTAAGAGCTTCAGGACTTACACTACACCGAAAGCAGCGAATGCAAATTTGTTTTCAGCTAAGAGAAAAACTTTTTTGTTTTTTTTCGCTGTCTCTTATTCTCTCCTGCAGCAGAACACGTCCTCCCTCTGGTCCATAAATGAGCCCTTTTACATCCACCTTCTGCAAGGTAGCAGAGTCAACGCAGATGAGGGAATGAAGGTTGGTGTGGTTTTGCGTAGGTTTTCTCTCACTTTGCTGCTCAATGAAATGTGGCGTTGGCTTGTTTACCAATATGTCAATTTCAGTTGTAGGAGCAGTCAGGTTAACATGTAAATGACAAAAAGAGGGGGGGTGATCACATGTCCAAACCGCACATTTCCCATAATTCATCAAGGCGGTTGGTTAAAACTTCAAAACAGGAAGTGGGGAGGGCCTATCTGGCTTTTTATGTCTCACTCTGAGGCCTAGATTCTAAGAAAAAAGGCGGGCTTCGTGCTCTTTCCCCTTCTCTTGCTTTCAGATGCACTTCTTTTTTTGGTTGTTTGTTGCATGCGTTTTGTTACCCTCTACATTTCGGTCCTTGACCTGATCTGTATGTTTGCAGGCTGCAAATATATTGTCGAGAAAGTGAGTTTCGTATCTCATGGCTAAGTTACCATATTATCAAACTTTGGGTCTATTTTGTAACTGAAACACGGAGGCACTTAATTTTTTGGGGGGGTTATTTTTTTTATAATCTCAGTTTGGGATAGAATATCTTAAAGGGGTCATAGAATGATTATATAGGGTATTTGGTGCTGGTCCTTAAGGTCTCTGAATAGGGTGTGAAACATTGGTTGGGCTGAAAATGGCATATTTGCTGTTGTATGAGCCCTAATACAAGCCTGGTTAAACGCCCTAGAATGAAACAACAGGTTTTCTTCCATTTATGGTATGCTGATGAATATTTAGATGAGCTGTGCTCTGATTGGTTGGTTTACAGTGAGCGAAGCTGCTGAGCAAAGACACGTCATAGCAACAAGCACTCACTCACTGAAACATCAAATTGATGATATGGTAGGGTGACCAGACGTCTTCTTTTTCCCGGACATGTCCTACTTTTCAAACCTAAACAAATGTACGGCGGATATTTCAAAATCGTCCAGGATTTTGGTCGACTATGGTGCAATCGCACCGGAGACTTCCGATGTCTTTTACCGGCCCCCAGCCCCCCTCCTCCGGCTGAGGATGGGCGGCTAATGGCTCTCTGCTGAGGTCCGGTCCGGTCAGCGGTACAGCAGTCGACACTTCATACCCCCCCTCCCTTGGGCCATTTAACCAGTGGGCTAGCCTGTATGTCAATTTCGGGGCGTGACAAAAGTACAGGCCAGAAACAAATAAGGCATCATCCCCGAATTGACATCAATTCGGTGCTCCGTTTGAATTCGCCCGTTTTATGGTGGAAGGTTAGAATTGTGAGATCTGCAGAGAAAGGAGGTGTCGATGGGGTTTGAACTTCTCTGTACGTCCATTTCACCCACTGAACTATCCTTTAATGTTTGATATTTAATTGTGAGTCGTTACACTTTGGACTTGCTTCCTTGACTCAATTTGAGAGCCATGGTAACCTGTTTACATTAAAGCTGTAGACCCCTTGACTCATAATGCAAATGACACCGGAAACTCTGAATCATCTCTATCCTATTCTGTGAATCTTTAAAAAAAAAACAAAAAAAAAACAACCCCCCTTATGCAACTCCTAAACACTTCAGCTTCTAAACCACCAGTGGAGGCCTTATTTAAATCACCCCATAATGTGTAAATGTGTGTGTTTTGCTTCAACACAGCTGGTGGTGCAGGCCGGTCTCTTCCACGGCAGTGAGCTCCTCTGTAAGATGATGACGAGCACTGAGGTCACGGTGTGCTCAGAGCCCCTGTGGGACCAGAGGCTGGAGTTCGACATAAACGTGTCTGACCTGCCCCGGATGAGCCGCCTGTGCTTTGCGCTCTACGCCGTCATCGAGAAGGCAAAGAAACCCCGGGGCACCAAAAAGAAGAACAAGAAAGCGGTAAGTTTGGGGCTGGAACAGGTGGGTTTAGGAGGTCTGATGCTTAGCAGGTACAAAGAGCTCTGTATCCTCCGCTGTGTTTGGTGTGTTGAGTAGGGGTGTGCTCTGTGGGAGTGTTTTCCTGCTGCATCTGGTTGTGCAAGTGTGTTCAGTGGCAAGGCTGCGGTTAGCAATTCATCCGCTTTAGCTCTTTTATCTGCACATTAGTCCAAGGAAGGAAGGAATTCTAAATACATCCTCACAGTTGACAGACACACGTGTCAAGTTGTGTTATTTATTTCTTGCAAAATGCTAAAGCATATTTGTTGCAAACACTAGATTCTGAGATGACGACACACAATTGTTTTTTTGTTTTGTTTTTTTAACCTTTTAAATCAGTAAGGATTTTTCATTGACAATCAGGGTTGTCACGATACTAAACTTTTCAACTCGATACCGATACTAAGGAAAATATTCGATACTCGATACCATTTTCGATACCACAAGGATAAAAACAAAGACTCCAAAATTCTACAGAAATATTTTCATTAATAAATAAAATGCAATAAATACAATAAACAATACGAACAATATTTTGAGGTTGTATGCTGTGCACAATATTAAGCAAACTTGATAAAAAACATATAAAATGAAGTGTTCCTTCCTTGGCTATGCTTTGCACACATAACAATGACACTAGCCAAACCGGTTAAGAAACAAAAATAATTCTCAGCAGCTGCACCTCTTACAAAAAAAAAAGTCTGAAACTGAAAAGTGCACAGAATTATTCAATCACAAAGTGTTCAGAAAGTGCATTGTCCTCTATTCTGCACTTTAGATGAATGACTGCTTAGGTGCCACTGGTGGTGGCACTGTATTGATACTTTTTAAAACGAGTATTGTATTCAGATACAACATTTCAGTATCGATACTTTTTTGAGTATCGATACTTTTGACAACCCTATTGACAATAAACAATTTCACATAGAATGTCACTTAGGAGTCTAAGATGAACAATTATCTTTTAAAAACATTCTCCCTCCTGAGCAGCACATCTCTGCAGCTCCTCCAGAGCTTCCAAGAGCCTCTCAATTTTCTTTGTAGAAATCTTGAAAAACATTTATCCTCTTTTATTTTACTTCCCAATTATTGATTGATTTGTATTGCGGTCTATCACATACAGTTTTTTAATTAACTACATTGAAGTTTGTGGTTGAAACAGGGAAAAATGCTTTAATGAATAAATGAATAAACTGGTAGATGTTAATTTGATTGAAAATCGCTTTCTACCTTGCAAGTATGGCTCACCACGTGCAGTACCAGTTAGCAACTTGAGGTGCAATGCCTTACCAAGGGGAACATGATGTCTGGGTGGGGGGAGGTTTGCATTTAACCTTTCAATTTCCAAACCACTATCCTAGAAAGTCTGATCTAGAAACAAAGTTCAATTCAATTTTAAATAATTTTTCAAGCCAGTTTAGAGCCAAAATGTTACACGCAAAGAGACAAGACATTAAAAACTACAAATATTTTGAAAAAAAGGATACAAAGGTTAGAGCTGTTCATGCTTTTACCAAATATGGTCATACCAGTGAAGAACAGAGGGTGATATTTAGTATCCAATGAGCTTGAACACCTATGATTAAAACTATTTTGGAAAATTAAAATTGTTTCTCAAAGATTTATTCAAATCAAAGTGAAAAAAAAGACAGTCATAAGGATTGGCAGCTTAAAACTAACTTCTTTTTTATTAAATATTGTCAATGAAAAAAAAAACATAATCGACAAAATATTCTGTATGAAATAATTTTCAAATTTATGATTGCAAAACAAATTTAAAGACTAGTAATTAAAGAAAAAATGTGATCTTTAAAATAACATAAAACATGATAACATAAAAGTAATTTTATGTAAAAATCTAAAAATAAAAGCAAACATTAAGGACATTTTTATCAGATTTAAAAAGGGTCATGATTCCCCTGTCTCTAAAAAACTCCAAGCATTTAGCATGAATAAGATATGACTCAGAAAATATCAAAGTGAAAACGTGGACTACTGTACTTAATACCTCCTCGCACAAACAGTACCACCATGAGGTGCTAGCTCTCTGTGTGTAGGATGGTGTCACTTTTGTGTGAGGACACACGGAGGTGTTTCATTGAAGAGGAGCACACTAACTGGAATTAAATCTCTGATAAAAAGGGATTCAAAATGTTGTTTTCAAATACTCAAGCCAAACGGACTACCTGCATGAAGACCTCTACCTTGACTCCACCTTCTTGTTATTTAGAAAAAGCACTTTCCCATCTTAATTTAGATATCTCAGAAAGTGAAAGGTGTTTTCCTCTGTCCATTTTTTACAGTGATATTTTCTGCCCCCACCCTGTGAAACCAGCGTGAAAGATAAAGAAGTTTTTTTACGCCCACTCAGTGAACAAATTCCCCTTTTTTCTGCAGTTGTGGTCTGAACATTTTTTGTTATGACATCGCTGCAGGAGCTGTGGGCAGAATGTTTGGGTGCACCTCCCTGAACAAGTTGCCCAGGTGTGGTTCCAGGCCATGGAGGCCACTTCCTCTTTCTGAGTTACTTCTCTCTTCTGATGTACGGAAGAGAAGTCCTGCAGCCAGACAGCAGAGCGGCAGCCGGAAGCTGGGCTATTTTAGCTTGTTTGTTTGTGCCTCTGTTTTCGTCTGCCTGCATCTCGACTCAGATTTTTCATTTTTTTGGTTGCTTAGAAAATGATGAAATAAGAAAAGTTGTTATTCTGCTGCCTGCCAGGAACTTTATTTTTATGCAACACGACAGAAATATTAGCCAGAGTCTTTTTTTTTTGTGTGTGTTTTTTTTTTTTGGTGAGGAACATGTTAATGAAGGAAACCTATTAATGGATCGACAAACTAAGAGAAATTATTTAGCCCCTGATGGATTTCTCCATTTGTCAGTTCATCTAAAAAAATGTATATCAACGGTTATGTGAACTTCTTAAACGGCCAGTGTTTACAATAGGATTAGATTATTTTTAAACTGTAAAAAAATGAACTATCTAAAGCAACTTCACTTCATGTGAAAACGTAATTTCCTCTTAAATCTGACAGCTGTCCTCGTCTTTAACAAGATGCATAAAGTCTTTAGCATCACTATTGAAGAGTATGGTTTTATTTATTTTTTTATTCTGACACTTGTATCTGTCCTTGTTCTGCATATCAACCAGATTAGCTCTGATTTTGTTTAGGCCGGTCTCGGATCTTTTGTGATCTCCTGGATGAGACCTTCATGTTATTAGTAGGGCTTGGCAATTAATTGCATTTGCACTATAACTGCATTTTCACAAAACACAATTCTCAAATCGCAGAGGCACTGATTTTTAATCACAATATATTTATCATGAGAAAGACACAAAATTTCTCCCTGCAGCCCTTTAGATGGTGGCAAAATGCTTTAAGTTGGTTTGTCGGCAAATAGAAAAGTAGAGAAAATTGCAGCAAGCACGCAGATCCATGTATGCAAGTCGAAGTAAACACTTGTTCACTCGATGAGGCATCTACAAGCTTGGGGTTAGTGCAAAGAAAAATCGAAATAAAATTGCAATTTGGTTACAAATAATTGCATGCAATTATTGGAATTTCGATTTTTGGCAAATACGTTCAGCCCTAGTTACTAGGAGTAATTTTAGTCTGCCTGACAATGCTGGATATGCTAACTACAATTCCTTATTTCCTCAGTTTGTAAATGTAGTCTGTGGTTCTCTGGAATTTTAAACACATAGAAAAGACTGAGTGACCTTTTCCAGACTGATATTTATATCATTGACTCAATCAATCAAAATTTATTTAAGACACAAAAATGGTCCATAGTGAAATGAAAGAAAAGGAAACACATACAAATAAATAAAAGCCTCTAAAGGTCACAGAGCTTGATAATTTACACTCAGTCATCAATAAATGGTGATGTCAGTGATTCCAAAATCTCAATGTAAATCTGAATGTCCTCAGTGCAGGTTTTACTACAATGGCAACTATGCCATTACATGACACAGAATATCTATACATATGAGGACCTGTGGGTCCACCAACACTTGCAAACAGGCGGCTACAGTAGCACTGCTTTATCTAGGTAGTTTTGTGCAGTAGCCTCATCACTGTAGGCTACATGAAGTTTGTGCATGCTGCCTCTTCTGTATTGTTGCCATAGATTTGTACATTGGAATACAGAAGACTTTAAAAGAAGGTACTTTAGTTGTGGGTGAACACATATAAAATTTTCTGACCAGCATGTTACTTTATTCATACATCGTACAACACTGCCTGACAGATCATCATTTATGTGGCGTCCCAAAGATTTAACCTCATTACATATCTTCGGAACAGCACAATAGAAGAGGAATATAGGATTTATCTGATGTTTATTTTCCTTGCTTCTAACAACCATGATGTTGCTCTTCTTGGGATTATACACTATGTTAATGCTGGATGTGTAAAATAGATGTTAAAGAGGTAAACAAGGACTTTTATTCTCCTCTGTTTCTTTAAAAGGAAGGGGGTGCATTATGTATTGGTTTTTGTTTATTTGTTTTTTGTAATACTGCCTCCTGTAATCAGAAATTTGTTAAATTTAATTGATTTCTTGGATTAATAAATCAGGCTGGAATTAAGCTCCAATAATATTGTTAATCACAGTAAAATACTGATATAACAATGGGACCAATTAATGTTTAACATGGGGGGAGGTTGGTTTGGATAAGATGTTCCCACTGACGGACTGCGAAAACGATCTACAAATAAGGCAAGGCAAGGCAAGGCAAGGCAGATTTATTTGTATAGCACATTTCAGCAACAGGGCAATTCAAAGTGCTTTACATAAAATCAGTTAAAAGATAAATAAAACACAGAAGAAACAGTTCAAAATAAAAACAAAATAAAACACAAGAATAAAAATTACAGTGCAGTATAAGAGATTAAACAGTAAAGAAATGAACGTCATTTAGAGAAATGACGTTCGAAAGGTCTTTAGCATTGATTTAAAAGAACTGAGAGTAGCAGCGGGCCTGCATGTTTCTGGGAGTTTATTCCAGATGTGAGGACCATAGAAACTGAAAGCTGCTTCCCCCTGTTTAGTTCTGACCCTAGGAACAGAAAGTAAACCTGTCCCAGATGACCTTAGAGGTCTGGGGGGGTTATAGTGTACTAGCAGGTCAGAAATGTATTTTGGCCCTAAACAAATAAGTAAAACATGTCTTAAATTAACTGTATTTACCATAATCTGAACAGGTAAAAAATATGATCTGCCAGTGGAAGGAGTATTTTAACTCTTAAAATAAGCTAATTAGATCATACGCACTCAAAAGAAAGAGTACGCAATCGTTTGTTTTTTTTTTCTTTTTTCAGAAGTAAATTGTCTTGTTCAATTGGCAAAGTGTGTCTCTTACCTCCTCAATTCACAACAAAAGGCACTCATTTTAAGATAAAGGTGACTTATTTAGATGTTTTGTTGCAGTGTACAATTATCTTTATGAAAAGGCTTCTGTGTTTAAGGTAACTTTGTTTGAGCTCAAAATTTAAGCAATAAAGCAAAAAAGGAACAAATATGTAGAGAACAATTTTCCCTAAAAAGGTTTTATTAAAAAGAAAAAAAAACAAGATTTGAATACTGCTTGGTTTTTGCAGTTTGTTTTAACAGTGAAATCCAACCACCACTGCTGCTCTTTTCCAGGACTGTCCCATTGCCTGGGTGAACACCATGGTGTTTGACTACAAGGACCAGCTGAAGACCGGGGAGTTCCTCTTATCCATGTGGCCATCTGTACCAGGTACTTCCTGCCTAATCTTGCATTTCCGTCTCACTAAAAACGGCCTGACGTGTTCACAGCATCTTTTGCAAACACCTGGGTAAGAAATGATACCATCAGAAATACCCAGCGTGGGGAGTAGTAGAAACTGAACCACACATATTGATTCACACACCTTCGCTGGCTGGATGCAGCTGTTGATTGTTTGTCTCAGAAGCATGTTAGTAAAGTAAAGCTGTTTAATATGTATTCAACCCTTTTTATGTTAAAGCTAAAATAGAAAAATTGTAACGTCACCTCAATCAGAGCTCAGAAATATTTATTTTATATTTTCTTTCACCACAGATGACAAAAGTGACCTGTTGAACCCAATGGGAACAGTCGAGAAGAACCCCAATGTAGACAGCGCTGCTGGGCTCCTCATTCGCTTCCCAAACATCCGGCCTCACCCGCTCTATTACCCTCCACTTGACAAGGTATCTTATCCTTAATCTATATGTACAACCTTAACCTTTTCTAAATACATTTTCTCAGAATAAAATAATAAATAAAAAAAATATAATTGAAATTAAACTCTTGAAAATAAATATTTAAGTAAAAACGATACTCTTGTAAATAACTTGTTAAAATCTTTTTTTCCCTTACCTTTTTCAGATTATCAATCCAGAAAGGAATGGCGAAACAGTTTTCCCCCCTAAAGATGAGGTAAGATAATAAAATCAGAAAGCGTTTCTAAAACCTGAACACAGCGTTTCTTACTGAAGACTGATTTTCATGTTTTTTGTTGTTTTTTTTCTCGTTTTTTAGTACTTAAGACTAAAAGAAATTATGGACAACAAAAATTACACTGAGTTTTTTGAGGATGAGAAAGAGCTCATGTGGAAGCTGCGTGCAGAGGTCCGTGACTATTTCCCCGAGTGCCTGTCCAAGCTGCTCCTCATCACGAAGTGGAACAAGCGCGAGGACGTAGTTCAGGTATGGAGATAATTAGCTGAGTTTTTGAATTGAGCTTTTTGGTCTTTCAGCTCATAGTTCACACATACTGCATTACTTGAAACGTCATGTTCCCCTCTCTTTCCCATTATGAGGATAAGCAGAAAAACACCTTTGGCAAATATTGTTTATTATGGCTTTTAGTTTCAAATTAACCAGAATATCTTGTTCTTTTATTTATTTTTTTGGCATCGAAGACTTCTAAGAAAAATGCCCTTTTTTAACACATATATTTTTGTTTTGCTTTTAGATTTGTTATACATAAATGTAAGCTTTGCCATTTTCTTTCACATGTTTATCATCTTAGATGTAATATTTAGGATTTTATAAAACAAGAGGTAAACGTTTTCCTATTTCTGAAGCAGACTTATATATATTTCTTGCACGTAGATCTAACTGAAAGCAAAATCCAACAATCAAGCAGCCAAATTTCTTAATGGGCCAATTTTAAGTTAATCGGTTGAACACTGAAAAATCAGACTTTTTTTTACTTATTAAATGAATCAAAATTACTAAATCCTGTGAATATCGCTCAATAAAACTTAAAACAGTTGTACATTTTCAGATAAGCTGTTTCTTAAAATCTATGAATTTATGAAGGGTCTGATCAAAATGAGCGACACATACGTAAATGCGGATGATCTTGGATTTCCCATAAGAATCCAAAAATGCAGCATCTGTGAAGGAACCTGTGGTACATGTTACGTACTTGTCTTTCACTTCTAAAAAGGGGGAATCAGATCTCATAGAAAACCAGAAACTGGTGTTTGCCCGGAATATACGGTTTGAAGTATTATTGAGATTCAAAAATCCAATTAGTAGCAGTTTATTAGTAAAGTCAGAGTAAGGATCAGAATGCCTATCCTGTGGTGGTCCTAATTGAAATTAAAAAGGTTCATTTTGTTTTTGTTAGATGGTGGGTTTACTGAAAAGCTGGCCTGAACTTCCTGCCATTCATGCCTTGGAGCTGTTGGACTACAGCTTTCCGGACCCAGCAGTACGGTCCTTCACCATCAGATGCCTCAAGAAGCTAAGGTACATAAAGAATTTGTCTTCCAAGGGGAAAGAAAGCCTTTAAATGCATATTTTTGCAGATCAGCACAAGTTAAATTCTCTTTCCTTCCACAGCGATGATGAGCTGTTACAGTATTTGATCCAGCTGGTCCAGGTGCTGAAATATGAGTCCTACCTGGACTGTGATCTCGCCACCTTCCTGCTGGAAAGGGCGCTGTCCAACAGGAGGATAGGACACTTTCTGTTTTGGCATCTTAAGTGAGAAACAATTTGAACTAATGACAGCATTTTAAAATCAATTTCATGTGCTCAACCTTTTTTTTTTTCTTTCTGACATTTCTGGATTTGTTGTAGATCTGAGATCCATGTGGCATCGGTGAGTTTACGTTTTGGTCTGATTCTGGAAGCATACTGCAGGGGAAACATCCACCACATCAAGCTTTTATCCAAACAGGTAACAGCCTTGTTTATTATTTCCGTGTTTTGATTCTATAATAAATGCGTTTGCTGCTCTAAAGCTCAACTTGTTCCATACAGAACGAGGCTCTGGGTAAAATGAAGGCCCTGAGCGACATCGTCAAGACGGCCCAGAAAATGACCGTGGACGACTTGAAGCTGTGCATCAGACAGGAGTCATACATGGAGGCGCTGTCTGACCTGCTGTCGCCGCTCAACCCCAGCGTCATCCTGTTTGCGATCTGGTTAGCATTATACACAGAAACAGCAGATTTTGTCCAATGACAATATTTTTTTGTCTCTCTTTTTATAAATCGAACAGAAACAAACCCAAAATGTAACATTAATTCACATCAGGCAATGCTTTCCCTTTTGTTAACTCTTTCTAAAATCCTAAGATTTTTGTTTTTTTATTCTTGATTTTATCATTTCTACAGCATTATTGTTATATTTGACTAGAAATATTAATTAGATATTGAAAGTAACAACTTTAACTTTAAAATTGAAACAAGAAAAAAGAATCTGAAATTTGCGTACCATGAGATCTCTTTAAACGGTGAGATGTTTCATAATAGTTAAATTTTTTCACAGTGCTGATAAGTGTCGATTTATGGACTCGAAGATGAAGCCTCTCTGGCTAATGTACAAGAACCCTTTGGAACAAGCAGACATGGTGGGCATCATCTTCAAAAGTGGAGACGGTGAGAAACACAACAAACCAACATAAAAACCTCAAACCTTGTTGCAAAAGAACGAAAACTCATTTAGGTTAAGCAGAAGGTACTAATTAAATGTCTGCTATATCATGTCCAACCTTTGAATATGTTTAGTTCTGAATTTGATGTCACAGTTTATAACTTGGAAAATAAAGCAATAAAAAAACAAATTACATTACTTACATTAAACGTTTCTAAACTTTATAATGATACAACCAGAAGCGTTATGATCTTTTTATATTGACTTAATGTGGCAGACAGCAGTGCAGAATTGCAGACTGGAAGGAAAATGCTTGTTGTTTTTAAGAATTTTAACCCAAACAAATCTGAGCAGTGTGCTGTTCATTTGAGTTTAGATGCCCCATTATCATTGGTACCATTTAATGAAATCCAGTGCAAATGATGGCAAATAGAATAAATAAAGACAAACCCTAAATAATCTGTGGGAGCTAAATATAGATGCAGAATTAACAGTTCTATCCATACAGAGATTACAATGGGCTGCCTATTCTAATGATTCCTATTCTAATGGTCATCAACTTTGTCCCTTTCTTTTCACAGTTATGTCCTACTTTGTGTTGGTTTGGCTTCCAGTTTTAATATGGCTAAAATGTGTAGCATTCTTTTCCCTGTTAGTTTTAGAATAAGGTTTATTTTTCCCACTTTTATTTTATTTTACTAGATCTGCGGCAGGACATGTTAACCCTGCAGATGATCCGACTCATGGAGAATCTCTGGAAGAAAGAGAATCTGGATCTCAGGTGGGATCAAATTATCTTCTTGTTTTTGATTATTTCAAAACAAAAAAAAGGCTTTGACAAAATCCCACTGACTGAAACATGGACTTTCAGGATGATCCCGTACAGCTGCCTGTCCACCGGAAACAAAACGGGACTCATCGAGATAGTGAAGAACTCCGACACGATTGCCAACATCCAGAGGAACAGCAGCAACAGCGCGGCCACTGCTGCCTTTAACAAGGATGCCTTGCTGAATTGGCTGAAATCCAAGAACCCAGGGTGAGTCGTTTCAACTTTAACCCAAAAACAACGATCTAAATACTATTTCTAAACTAAGCAGAAACAGTATTATTCTATCTGGAAGTCATAATTTCCATTTATTCCAAAAATTACTCAGCTGGTGCCTTTCGTTTGCCCTGAAGGATTAATTGAAGTGTCTCAGAAACCCCTCAGGATCAGTTGGTTTGCTTTATTTTAACTATGCTAATTTTTTACCAAAAAGTGGCCCCAGTTCAACAAAAGGACATTCCAAGTGTTCCCAGTAGAAACCCGTCATTTATTTCACATGATGAAAATCTCAAAAAAGCTCATCAGCTGTAGCGTGTTCACTACAACTTAAAGAGGCAGGCGCAGTATTATCCTTTTTGGATGTCTTCATCATTTAAAACTAGACGAGTGATTAAAAATGTAAATGTTTTCAAAAAACATTTTTAAAAAATTTATTTCAGCACAAAGAAACACTAATATGATTTACTGTGAGCTGATTTACAGCTGAGTGAAATTTGCCATAAATGTCCTCCTCATAAAATATGTTTGACGGTTGCCTTGTTTTATTTAATGTGTTGATCTAATATTAACATCAATCAGACCAAATCTTGTGCACTTTTATTTTTCTCATGATGAATTTCTGTTTTAATTACCTTTATTTGCTGCAGCACTGGAACATTACAGCATCTCAAATATAAGAAGAAATAAATGCATCAAACTAAAATACTAAATCAAAAAAAATAAATATATAAAAATCCTCAAAGAAATATAAAATCAAATAATCAGATCTTTAAGAGTTCAAGCATAGAAACCAACATGTGTTGCTACATCAGAGAGTTTCCTTGTTACACACAGCGGCAAATGAATATGTACATTTTTAGCCGTAATTGGATTATTTTTTACTCTGATTACTGACAATATGAAACAGCTGCTCTGAATTTTAATGCCTTCTCCTTCTGAAAATTGCCCCGAAAGTCTGGTTTCTCCTCATTGAATCTGTGTGGGGTTGAAAAGGAACATCGGATTCAGATTCAGTGGTTTATTTATTGGTAGGGATAAAAAAACAGAGAACCAATTTAAGCAGATTTACACACACACACACACACACATACACACACACACACACACACACACACAGATACTGTAGCCTGCCGCATCATTTTTTCACTTCACTTTTTGGGGTGTCTTTGAATTGTGCCCTCTGTAGGTTGATCATTTTCATTTCCATCAAATGATGTGGCATCCTTTTGTTCCTAACACATCACTTAGTCCATATCAGTATAAATAAACAGCATGATTTTTTAGCTTCAGCACATACAGGTCCCAGTTAATGGCCATTTACATTTTTGGGGGAAAATGTCAGGTTAGCCAAAACAAAAGTTCATATGTATGACTATTAATTGGTTTTTCGTAATTTCGTTTTTTTTAATCTTTTTTGAAATGATACATTGAACCAATAGCTGGAACCAGAGCTGATCTAGGTGTCTATAGAAAGACTCTGGAACGTGAAGAGTGTCTTGTTTTGATCACTATGATTGTTTCATTATAGCAACACAGTAACAAAGAATGCTGGCCATCAATTTGCTTGTCTAACACACACACACACCCCCACCCCCTCCTTCCTCCAAACAGTTCTTGGGCTAACCAAAGCAGACAAAGTTCTCATAGCTGCTCTGTCAGGAAATCTTTCAGTTCTTATAACCCGTAGTGAGGTTTCCATCTTTGCTTGTACTTCCCAGTTTCAATTCTGCTTTCTGGCTCTCAACGCCAATTAATGAAATATCTTTGCCTGACTAAAATATTCAATTCATGTCATTGACCTCTGAGTAGCTGCTGCGGTTGTGCTGGGGGATGCAGTGTGTGGATTTGTGCTGATCCTGTGTGGTCTGTGCTGCTGATTTCCTGAGCTGGACTTTTAGTACTGCAGCAGGATGGGACAAAGTGTGCATGCAACTCCTGGAACAATAAACTAGAGTAGATTTTTATTTGGTGCCAGACCGTCTGAAGGTCTCATATTCTCTAAAAGCTCCTTGAGGAAAGAGGACTGTTGCACGAAATGAAAAAAGGCTTTGTACGTCACTTGGCAGCACAGGCCAAGCTGACAAAACAGAAAGGTAATATTTTTGAAATGCTGCAGAGCCTAAAGCAGTGCAGGAAAAATTAGTAAAAGCTTAACACAGTGGACCCCATGCATGTCTAGACTGAAAGGATGTGACGGTCAATCATTAATCTGCCATAGGATCTCCTCTGTGAATATTTCCTGCCATATGCAACAGCAGGAAAAAATTGGCAGCCTCAGGGCTGTCTGTGTGTTTATAAATGATGATTAGGAAATGTGCTGTAAGAATGAAAAATGCTAAAGCTATGCTTCCTTGTTTTTCTTACTTTATGTTCCATCAGGGACAAACTTGATCAGGCAATAGAGGAATTCACGCTCTCCTGTGCTGGCTACTGTGTAGCTACTTACGTGCTGGGGATCGGTGACCGCCACAACGACAACATCATGATCCGGGAAACTGGACAGGTTCGGTTCAAAATATTCACATTCAATAATAGGATTTTTCTTTTTTTCTTTGCATATTCTACAAGAACAGAGACAGTTGTTATTTTACTGAAGGTGGAAAAAAAATTGACTTTCCAAGTGTGAAATATTGCAGAGTAGTAGCCACACCCGCTTCAATTTCCCTACAGCTACACAAAACTTATGAGAAAAAAGTTCTGCTCCATGATGAGTCAAACCAGGGCTGCAGAAACAGAATGACTGATTTTTTCTGTCACTTAATCCTAATAAGCACAATGAAAAGCCTAGCTACCTACAGTAGGTGGGACTTCAAAGTAAGACGTTCATTTGGTTCTTTGCATCATAGATTTTTCTAACAAACGCACTTATCTTTGATGCTTAGCTGTTTCACATTGATTTCGGACACTTCCTGGGAAACTTCAAGAGGAAACTTGGGATCAACAGGGAGCGTGTGCCTTTTATCCTGACCTACGACTTTGTCCATGTGATCCAGCAAGGAAAGACGAACAACAGTGAGAAGTTTGAAAGGTATAACGATGTATGATACATTGGTATTGGGTGTTTGGGGGGAATGGGTTGGATGCTTAAAGCTGATGCCTACTTCCATATCTTTTTTTTTGGTCAGGTTTAGGGAATATTGTGAGCAGGCCTACAAGATCCTGTGTCGAAATGGGACGCTGTTTGTCAACTTATTTGCAATGATGAAGGCAGCGGGGCTTCCTGAGCTCACCTCCTCCAAAGATATCCAGTATTTAAAGGTACTAAACGTCAATCATTTGGCAAGAGACAGTGTTAGATTCAGAGTGATATCCTTCACCAAAAATATCAAAGTTTTTCCCATGTGTCAGATATATGCAACTCCTGCTGTTTGAAACCCTTCCAGCAGGTCTTCCCTTCTATCTGGTCTCATCACTGTAATTTCATTCCACTGGTTCCACAAAGTCTTTGAACCTGGCTTTTAATGACAGAAGAAGCAGATATATTTCTTTGTGTTTTATCCACCGTAATGTCGCTGCTTACATTAATGATGAAAATCGTGTTAATGGTGGATTTTTTTTTTTTGGTTCTTGCTTTCAACAGGATTCCTTGGCTCTGGGTAAATCCGAGGACGAAGCGCTGAAGAGTTTCAAGGTGAAGTTCAACGAAGCTTTGCGTGAGAGCTGGAAGACGAAAGTCAACTGGATGATGCACTCATTGGCCAAAGATAACAGACCATAAAGAGCACTGCAGTGGTGAAAAAAATACCAAGAATAATGACTTTTAACTTATAGACTGAAGAAAATAGGAAATATCTTTATCTATATGACATGGCATTTAAACCCAGCTGTCAGCAAATGTTTACAGGCCAGTGGCTATGAAACAACTAAACAGAGGCATCCAAAGACACTGAGTCATTACAACACAGGCATTTTCGAAGCAAAGGACATTCATTCCTTTTAAACTTTATTTTCATCTGCAAAGGAACTGTCTTTGCCAACCCAGACCATAAATATAACCTGGATATAGTGGAGGTTGCTACTTGAAAACCATCAGTTCTTGCAAAGTGCAGTGGAAACAGAAAGTTCATGTCCTGATTGCATTACTCAGCAGAGAGCGAGCTGCAGGCAGCCTGCGCCGTGACTTTAGATATCGCTCAGTCACCTTCAAGCAACTCATGGCGATGACTCTGCCACTTATTTGAACTGCCTTTCTCCAACAGTGCTGTGTATTTTTATATTGTGCTATATTTAATTTTATTGCTGTAGAGAACTTGTAAATTCATAATGTGTATTTTAAATTAATATTCCGTCAGCGTGTCATTTGGAAGCTTATGGAGTGCCAGTACACATGAAGCATTGTTCAGAAACTTGCCAGAACATTTGTTGCCTTGAAGAACTTTTTAATTTTGCATTAAAGCTTTTAATGCTATTGTTAATCTGTTTTTTTTTCTGAAAAGAAAGGATCAGTTTATGTGTGAGTGTGATGCAGGAGGCGGTAACGTGTTGCTTTGCACAAATACAGGAAACGGCATTGCATCTACCTACGTACAACTCTAAATTTACCCATCTGATTGGTGTAAAGCGTAAGAGTTGCTTGTGGAAAGAAACACAGACTCATTGTTTACCTCATTTTTCTTCCTGCAAAACTAAGCAACTAATGTCCTTACTCATGTGTTTAATGAACCGTCCTAAAAAGGTTGTTTCTTGTGAAACTTGGATGGATTCAGTTTTAAATGCCTGAACTCAGCTCTTAAGGACACATATCACGGCAGCTGGAGAAAGGAAACTTGAGATGCTGTAAAGCAGTGATATTCTGTGATATTCTATGAAGAAAGTAAAAGCTGAAATCTTGGTACTTGAGACAATCGGTGGATACAGAAAAGCCATTCACTTGTGGATGTACTACCCGTACTGTGATGTTGGTCACACTGTTAATATCAGAGGTCAGTGCAGATGATGTGCACTCTCCTATAGTGTAGACTGGTTTTATATGGATGTGTGTGTGTTTATTTTAATGTTTCGGTTTTGCACTTCCACTGCAGTCCTAGCCAAATGTGCTAGGTAACATGGACATAGATTCATGTTTTTAGGGTCAATCCATGTCATAACAAAATCATTGCAGCTCAAAATGTTGTTTTATTCATTTTAAGTGAGACTGTGTACTGTTTGCCTTTATCTCTAGGTGTTTTTTTTTAAATATTATTACTTTACACCCTGGTTCTCCACTGTATGTCCTGAAAGGACTGCGGCCTTTTTTTTGTAAAGAGTTCTTGTTAAATAGCCACTTCATATTATCAGTCTCTGTGCAATGATGACAGTAAGAGGTACAATTGTATTTTGGAGATTTTACGGCACTGAGGCGACATTACTCCTTATTCTTGTCCTTTAAAATGGGCTTCACTAACTACTGTTTATTTTTAAGCAATACAAGTGGAAATTGGTTACAGTGTCTCTAAATGTTTGGTATTATGCTGTTGCTTTTAAGCTTGATTGTAATTATTTTAAATGTTGGGATATGGTACAACTCCTTTAAAGTCCAGGCCAGATCTTCAGTTTGCAGCTAAAGCGAATAAATTATCCTCTGAAAATAAATTTGTTTCTTGTTTTTACTTTTGCCACAGTCGCTTTTGGGATCGACTTAATTCTGAATTAAAAGCCTGCAACTACAAAGCCTGTTAGGGCTCTATGTTCACACTGCAGGCATTTATTGCTGATTTTACTTTTTTCTTTTTTGTGAAATCTGATTCTTTTTCATGATTGTTCACATTTCCAAATATATGCGACTTTTAAATGATCTGTGTGAACTGCATTCATACAACTTAAGCGTCCCGCATCCTCTGTAAAGACGCAATGATGTCACAAGCAGTGAGCTTGCTCTGCGTTTATGGAAGTAAACATGGATGGTAGTGTTGGAGCGCATCGAGTCATCTTTCATCCCTTTTCCTATGGAGCCAGTGCATTAACAAAGCAATCAATGACCACAAAAACGATCAGAATCAAGCATTAATGCCTGCAGTGTGAACGTAGTCTGCCTGACCTTGGTGTTCTTTGCTCAATACCTTTGTCAGTATTTCTCACAGGCTTTTTGATTTTTTTAAAAAAATACCCTGTTTTATAAAGCTGTGTTATTTATGTTTCAGATCATTTAAGTAAACATTTCCCAGAGATGCACTTGAACTTGTAATGACATCTAAATTGAATCCACCTTTCAAGAAATCAAAACATCGATTCTGTGAATCTGATATATCTGTCTTGCGTTATATAGGTTGTAAAAATGAAAGGAATTGCTTTAAAAAGGAAGAAATTGCTATTTCTTTACAGAAAATTAAATGATTAAAGGAAATTACAAATTTTAATAATCTTCCCAATATTTGGGTTTTCATTTATTATTCAAGTGCCTAAATATGGTTTCTTTAAAGCTACAGTGTGTAATTTTCAGCGACATCTAGCGGTCAGACTGCAGACCGCAGCAACATGAACATCTCCCCCCCCACCGCTTCTCCCCCTCAACAGTACGGCGAGCGTTACGGGACAAAATTTCTTCCACGACGTCCGCATCACCTACCTTCTCAAGTGATGAGGTTTGTTTACATAGATCATTTTACAGATAGTATTTCATTAGTCTGAGTAGGGTATAGATTTCATGTAGACTTAAGATAATAAATATACCCGTTATTTTTTCTACATCGTTGTGACGTTTTGGTGAGCTGCTTTGCATGGTGATATAAACAGACGAAGTAATTGTAGTCATTAGTTTAACAGCGAGATTGTGTTCGCTGGAAGAATACCGGTATATATTCCCCGTTTACAGAGTCCAAGTCATTTTGGTGGCACGGGGGTTACAAGGCGAGGAAAAGGGAGAGGAAGAGGGCAGAGAGGCCGGGGTGGGCGTGCAGCCAGGGCCAGGCGAGGGAGGGGTGCCAGCGGGGTGAGAGCAGAGGAGAAAAGGCTTGAAGATCTCCAAAGGAGCCGGAGAGAAGTAACCGAGGTATATATCCAGAAAATTATTTTACAGAAAATTACTGAATCATTACCTATGAAACGTCAGGGACGTTGCTGAATAAGTATACTGGAGAGTAACAGCATCATCACGCAGCATGTTATTGTTTTAGACAGGTCTGAGCATCCTGTACTCCAAAAACTGCAGTGATATTAGACAATTGTGTGTGTAGGATTAATTACCTGTCCAAGAGAAAACTGGCAACTTGAGCGTCACTTTGAAAACCTTTTTCCTCCATCAGTGACTTCCATCGTGTAAATGCCGTGCCAATGTTGATCCGTGTTTTTTGTCGTTTCTTGTCACGCTTGCGTTTATTCTCGTCGTGTTTCCGCTTCTTAGATGACGGGGGTTCGGTGTCCGCCGCTTTTCGTTGTGATACAGAGTAGGCATGATCCTCCATTCGTCTGATGTTTGGCCACACAGTGCCAAACAGTTTGCAAAGTCACTCACGCCTGCCGCCTTGTTCACCTTTCTTGTTACTGAGGCGCAGTATACCTGCTTCTTCTTCTTCTGTGGTTTCAGGCAGACTAAACGCTTCTCAGGCATAATACTGCCATCTATTGTTCAGTACCGTCTCAGTTCATCTCTCTCAACTTGCCGTAGTTATTTTTGAGCGTCATGGGAGATCTCGCAATCGCTAGTTTGTTGCCTCTGCGCTTGCCGTAGCGCAAAGATGTCAGCCTCCATGGCTGCGAGACCCGCTCCTATGTAATTATAAATAACGAATTCTAAGGCAACGCAAATATTATGGTTAAAAGGCTGAGCTCATAGGTGATGATAAATAACATAGTTATGTATAATATATTAAATTTCTGACTTTATATGCCTGTAATTATTACACACTGTAGCTTTAAATGTGGATATGACCCTAATAAAGGATCCACTTATTGAGATTTTAAAAGTTAAGACAAAATATTAATATTTGTTCATATATAGAAGTTGTTAATATACAACAGAAAAATCTGTTAGGGAAAAACTGTTATTTTTCAAAGTTTAAATATCTACCTTTATATATATGCATGCCCAATAACACATACTTTGTTCAAACTTAACCTTTATTCACTTTGAATGAAAGGAAAGGATTCGTTTGTGGAATTTGTGTTTTTCTTGGCAATGTAATTTAAAAAACTGCATTAAAAAAATTGTAATCACTGAGAAACGTTTAGATCAGGGGTCCGCAAACTTTGAAAACCAAAGAGACATTTTGATGAGTAAAAGGTCAACCAGAGCCACATATATTTGATTAAACCACGGCAGAGCTAGATGGGGGGCCAGGGGTGGTCATGGCCCGCCTTAGCCAATCATTGGCCACCCTTGAGGCCACCCCTACCATTTTTTCCCTTCTAATACAGATGTTGGCAGCAGTAACACTCTCAAGTAGAATATTCAAAACATTTTAATTTTTCATCCATTAACAATAACTTGACAACAAAAACTCTGTTGTTAATTATGCACATCAATGTACTCATGTTAAAGACGATAAGTACAGAATTCATGCTCTTTTCAGAACTAGATTTTGTGTTATATGGGGTAAAGAGAAAATTATGTGTCTCTGCAAATCATCTAGGAGTCTTCAGTGAAATCATAGATAAATAACTATTTTACTAAAAACATATTAAACAATCAATTTATGTAGATATTAGTGCTTGTAAATGTAAATTTTATGCATAATGATTATTGATTTAAGTAGGTAAGTAAGGACAATGGAAAAGATGTTCACCACAGAACTCTAACCTGAAAGAATTGTTTCCACTATACCTTTAATCTAGAAAGCAAGGATGTTGAAATATATGCGTCTATTTGTTAGGAGAGGCTGTCGGGAAGTATAGTCAGTCTTTATTTAGCGAATATGGATGTTGTGCTCGTTAATTTTCCTGTTGGAACAGTGTATATTGACCCTGAGGTTCTGGCGCCTATCCACTTTCGGCCACCCCTCAGTGTACATTGGTTAATGCCTGGCCACCCCTATAAAATTTTTCTAGCAATGCTTCTGTGATTAAATTCTAAGGAAACACAGCTTATATATATATATATATTTTTTTTTATATAAATATCTGAACTAGGAAATCAATTGTCATTTAAAACAGCTGATAGTTTATCAGTATATTTAGCTTTAAAAATGTGGAAGAACAAGAAGTGTTCTGTAAAGATAAACAATGGATATTATTTGATAAAAAAAGGAACATCATTTGTAAACTAATAACAAGAAAAGTAGATCTTTCTGATTTTTTTATGATTTTCCGAAAATTCAGATATTCTTTAAAAACTCAAACTTGTATTTTAAAACATTTGTTGCTTCCTTATACATTTTTTAGACTGCTATTTGGAGCCATTAGAGAGGTTGCAAAGGACCGCTTCAGGCTCCAGAGTAAGGAAGGAAATCGTTACCATATTTCAAATGAAAAAGCATTTTCAGAAATGCTTTTTCATTTCAAGAATGTGGCTGCATTGTTTGACTCATAAATTAAATTAGTAAACAATAATCCTGATTGCATTTTCATTTTCTTCTTTAACAATGTTCATCCTTTTACTTAATTAAAATGAAAAAGAAAAAGACATTTGAGATTTATTTTTCAAAATACATACCAAAACCATACCAGCAAATATATACCAAAATTTAATTTGAAATGTAAAATTTGAAAATGAAAAACCCTTTCCAGAAATGCTATTTCATTTTAAGAATGTGGCTGCATTACTTGACTCATAAATATGATTAGTAATCAATCATCCTATTTGCATTTTAATTTTCTTCTTCAAGACTGCTCATCCTTTTACTTAATTAAAATGAAAAAAAATAAGACATTTGAGATTTATTTTTCAAAACGTACCCCAGCAAATATATACCAAAATTCAATTTGAAATGTAAAATTTGAAAAGCAAAAGGCATTTCCAGAAATACTTTTTCATTTTAAGAATGTGGCTGCATTACTTGACTCATAAATATGATTAGTAATCAATTATCCTATTTGCATTTTAATTTTCTTCTTCAAGACTGCTCATCCTTTTACTTACTTAAAATGAAAAAGAAAAAGACCTTTTAGATTTTTTTTTCAAAATGTACCCCAGCAAATACATACCATAATTTAATTTGAAATGTAAAATTTGGAAATGAAAAAGCATTTCCAGCAATATGGTAACGATTTGCTTCCATACCAGAGCGGTAGGTTCTGAAGTGTGGTTGGTAGCGCCCCAAGCGGAATCCAGCGTTAGCGCAGGTCCAACTGCTGGTTGATTCAGTCCTCCGTAGCTCTGCCGACTGGAGGGATGTGACCCCGGAAAGGGACGCCCTGCTCATAATATAACAGCCCATTCAAACAGATTACACTCGAAATTAAAGCTGGACCAGGAGGGGTAAGCACACATACGCCGTTTTCTTGACGGGTCGTCGAATGTCAGAGAGTTTATTTTTCCGGCTGAACTGCGGTACCTGGGTGCAGTTTACAGCCGATAGAACTTAGCCTCATTCAGGCTTTTGTCTGAGGCATGCTAGGCGAGCTAGCTCTGCTGGTTAGCTCCGCAGCTCGGCTCTCGTTCCCTCCGAAATCAAATGTCACTTCGTATTAAACCTTAGAGCACTTACAGCTGGTTCGGGTTACTGCATATATATGCCAAAACGAAGGATGTAACTCTAAAAACCGTTGGGAGGAAACAGGAATGGCTTGGCTGCTTTGCTAAAGATGCTACAGTTTAAACTGCGTCTCGCTACATGACAAGAACCGTTAACCCATTTCTGATTATTACCGACAATTCATGTTTCATACAGCAAAGAACATACCAGCAAAGAACAAGACAAAGTCAAATTTAATTAAATTACTCATAATTTCAACTTAACATTATAACTAATGCATGTATGTTTTTATATTGCATGGCTGGAAATCTACAATATTGTCAGAATATTGTCTAAATATCTTGATGTATTTTTTGTTTATTCTTAAGTTAGCTCTAGAAATACCTCTTCCTACTTTCTATTTATAATCCAGCCATATATCCATTGTGCCACCCTGCCTTTTACAGTGTCTGCTGCCCCCCACGCCCAGTATCTGACAGCCCTCTTGGTGGCAAAGCTGGCTCCCTGTTGGCAGCAGGACATTGATGAGAGCTGCAGCCAGCAGGTGTCAGGCCTTGCTCATGGGCAAAACCCCCACCTCCCCCCAGAACCCCCCTGGCAACTGGCACACCTTGTCATCTACCACAGCATGTTAAGCCTCTCTTAGTTTGCACATTCTCTTAGCTGTTTGGATTTTAGGAGGAAGATAAGGACCACTTCTTTACACTCCCTGAGGGGAGTTGATCAGCTGCCTGCATGCAGTAGATACCAGGAGGGGGAAGATGGGTTCATCTTGCAATCACTTACTGGTGTCTTTGGTCTTAGCCTTGTTACCCATTCAGCATTGACCTGGTCGAGAACAACACTAGGCTCTCATCATATCCCGTTTGACATATTCACACCTAATGGACAGGTTTGAGTCCTTTAAATTTCTTTAGAATATTTTGTATAACTTTAATCAATCTTTTTCCTTTTTTCCCCTAATTTCCAGTTATTGTTTCTTTGTCTCTTACAGCCTCCTATGTTATTATTATAGTTCCAGCAACGTAAAACATAAGTAGCCGTTTGTAATCAGGATTGTATGCCTCTCTTTGATGATGAGGCTTTTGAAAATCCTCCTGCCACCGCCCCAAGGGACCAGCTTAAGGCTGCAGCTTCTACTTTTTGAGGGACTCTAAGGAGTGAGCATAGCTGCCCTATGATCATACACCAGATTAGATGCTTTTTTTGTTTTGTTCTTTTTTTTTAACCAAAGGGTTTCTATGTAGCTTTGAAAAAATATGAAATTGTCCATTTTAATTTTGTTTTCAGGTATGAATAAGTATGGATATAGAAACTGAATTATGGGGGGGGGGGATTGATCCTTTTTTTCCCCCCAGCTCAGTGAGACTTATGAAAATTTGGACATCTTTTCAACTATTTTATTTTATCTGTGCATCTTTTTAAGCGCCTATCCAATTATTTTTTTCAATTGTTTTTTTTCTCAGGTTTCCATATAGCTGAACTTTGTGAATCTATCCATCAATTTTTCTTTTTATCTACATCTTGATTCTGACCTCAATAGAAATTGTCATGAGTTCATAGTAAGTTCTTACTTTGGAAATTGGTTGCTCTAGCCTTACCTGCAGCTATTGAAAATACCTGAGGGTTTAGCTAAAATAGTGTGAAATGTTGTCAGCCCATTTTAGTGGACTCATTGGACTCGTTTTAGTGGAGGTTTTGAAAATGACAAATCACAACCTAGAAACCCTGCCATGAAGTAAGTTTGTTTAGTATTCCCGGATTGTCTGAGTCACACAATGACTACAAAACATGACCTACTAATCAATGTATTTTCTAACAATCTAGTTCATCATCATTGTCCCAAATACTGCCACTATTGTTGTAACACCCCCAGATGAGCAGAGATGCAGACAGCCAGCAGGTCCTTAACAAAGCTTTTCTTGCCTGTGTTGTCTTGATTGTCATGCTCGTTGTGTTTGAGGACAAAAACTGCTTCGACCTTGAGGAAGCCTGAGTTTCAGATGCCAGCCTTTAGATTTAATACCTGTGTTATTTGGACTTTATCTGAACCTTCGCATGAATGTTTAAATTAAAAGATGCAGTCATGTTGCTTCACGCTTTGCCTGTGTAACTAATGTGTAATAAGTTAACATGCCAAAGATGTCTGCTCAATGTTTGGGTCTGGAGATTACTGTTAATATGTTTTTGTTGAAAAAGAAGAATCATGGCTATCGTGCAATATTTTTGCCATAAAGTAATAATTTGCACAGAGTGATTATTTCTTGAATTATATGTTGTGGTTTGTAAATATGTTTCGATTTGTGATGAAAAATGTAACAGTTCTGGTGCCTAGTGTTGAAAATATCTGCATTTGCAGAAGCATGGTCCAAAATACCAAACATAATTTAAAGTAGATCCATTCCTTCTTTCCTTCCTTCACATGCGTCTGTGGACCGATTACTCTCCCTTCTAGTCGTCTTCCTTATTCTGTGAGTTATGATCTTGCAAAGAGTCTGTTAACATTTTCCCATTATTGCGCCAGCAGTCGTCACCTTCTCGCTGATGGTCTAGTACTCTATTCCCTCTTGTAGTCTTGTCACTTAGATCCTCTGACAGCTCTTGTCTCTTTCATTGGGGTGCGGGTGGAATGGCAGAATGTATGGACATGGTTGCATCATATTTAAAGAGCTGCAATCAATAGGTTTAGTGATTGATTGGTTGTCATCTGTGGGAGCCAAAATTTTATCTGCTCTAGAAAGAAAGCAATTATTAAAGATATCAGTATTAACAACTTGTCTGAAAGTTGAGGTAATATAGTAAAATTAAATCAATCCAGGCTTTTGGCAGGAGGCCTCATTTAGTCTGCCTTTAGGCGATAACTGCTTGTTTCACGTAATGATGTGAAAACCTGTTCTTTTTTTTTTTTGTATGTATTCTGCATTTCCACCTCTTGAAACATTTAAGGCAGTGGTTTTCTTTCTCAAGTAAACAACATTAGTAACCAAAAAATACTTCTGATGTGTAATGAGGAAGTTTTCAGAAGCAAACACTTTTTTTATAGACTGTATAGATGTTGTATGAGTAGTACTGACCTATTTTCCTCTTAAAACCTCATATTATTTTAACCATACACTAAGGTGAGGCAAATGTATGACAAAATGTCATTAGAGATGCGTGTGTTGTTTCTTTTTGGTGGGGGGGTCGTGAGTTCAGCTGCTCTGCAGAACCAGGGCAGGCTCATCAGCTGGCAGCCCCACCAGCCTTATGGCCTACTAATGTTTCTCACACATTTGCTCCGGACGTTGGAGCAGCTCATGATTGAATTCAAGTTATTTTTCACTCTCACTTTTTCCTATCTGCTAAAGCCATCAGTCTGTTCGAGTCATATTGCAAGGCTCTCTCTTATGCATGCTGCGGGAAGGTGATTTGTAAACCGGAGGTTGACATCGTACCTGCATCATGCAGCAAGCCAGACTCTCTGGCAGCCTCCGTCCTTCTTCGCCCTTTGTTAATGTGGGGGCATATCACATTGCATAATGTGTGCCCTAAAAGAAAACCCTTGTTGCACTTTGTGGCTTGTCTGGAATCTAAAATGTTCAGGTTTTTCCTTTTTTTAGAAATGGCAATTAATACTTTAGGAGGTGGTGGGTCAGCAGCTCATTGGCTGCTAAACAGAACGGGATCATTTTCCAAAAATCATGTTGCTTTTTTTTTTTTTTTTTTTTTGGTCCGTCAAAATCCTTGCAGCTGTTAAGGCAGCCAGTTATTATTATTTAGATTGAATGATCTGTATTTATATATGAAGTTATAAATTGACCGTCTCGAGAGAACTTTTAGTTACTAGGGCTGCAACTAACGATTATTTTGAAAATCGATGAATCGGCCGATTATTTTTTCGATTAATCGATGAATCGGACACAAAATATTTTTTTTATATTAACCTCTTTATTCCAAAATAAACATTTTAGACAGAACAAACAAGCACACAAGTACAGGTTGCTCATTAACTGTACTGGTGCTATATGAAAAATAAATGTTTGTTTTAAAACTACGCAAACTTACATGAGAAATGTAGCTGTACATCCACAAAATATAGGCTACTTTGTTTCATAAAGCGCAAAAAGAGACAGGCATTTTTGTTTTTTAAAGCCCCTAAGGGGTTCAAACAATAGGCCCCCCCATTTCAACAAATGAGGTTTTTTTTAGACTAGAAGAGTTCTGCCTTTTAAGACAGGAAAGTATAGCAGTTAAAGTTGCTACTTGAGAAAATACTGAACCATAGAGATAAAAATAGCCCTGTGATTCAAATTATAAATTGTATTTGGAATAAAAATGAGAGAACTAGGGGTGCTAAAAAACACATCCTCCAAAGACAGATATTTACATGGGAATGTGGCATATACTTAATTGACATATTACTGATCTTGCTGGATTATATTCTGCTTTACTTCCATAAATTGCAGGATCTTCTTTATCTTTGCCAGAAGATTTAAACTTTAAAAGCCTTGCCCTCATAATTTGCAAATTAATTTATTTTTAAAGAAAATATAAACGCTGCTTAAGCTAATTCAAATGAAATTAAAAGTAAAATAAGTAGCCAACCTTATCACTGTCTGTAACCTACTAACAAGCTAAGGAAAGCATCAGATGAGCTACCTGAGAAACTAACTTACGTTTCCCCACTTTAAAATGAAACAAACATGGTTACTCATCCTGCTGATCAGCTCTCTTCACTGCCATTGAAGGCTCCAACATGTTTTCTTTTCAGGTGCTGCATCATAACAGTGGTGCTTCCGTGCCA